TAATAATGATAATATTTACTTGAAATTTTGAAAATTTGAAATTAGGATGTCAATCTATACAAACAAGATTAATAAAATTAAAATTCGATTCAAATTTAATTTGGAAAATCAAAATTAATATCAAAAATTAAATTTATAAGAATTTCAGTAATAAAAAAAAACAGTATGATCATATAACTCTCCCTATCATTTAACATTGTAATTAAGATTTTTGTTATTAATTAACTCCCTCATTAACACTGTTTATCAAAGGGGGAGTTAATCTATCATCGTTACAACTTAACTCAGAGGTATGTGATAAGGGGAGTTAATTAATCACGCTACACCGGCTATAGTGGGGGTCTTTGTATCCCGATATATCTCCATAACATTCAAGAGCCTTGTGATTTGTTCGGTAGCATTGGCTAATTGGATCTTGATGTTAGACATTTCGTTAGCATTAGCTTTTTGGCTCTCTACGACCAGAGCTTTTACCTTTTCTATTGCCTCTTTTTGTTCGTCCATGGATTTCTGTGACGATATGGTAATTGCCGTTTTACTTAATTTTTGCTTAGGGAATTTGTTCCCGACTCGATTATTAATACTAAGCCTAATTTTTGGGGCTCTATGGTCAAGGGAAAAACAAATTAAAGTATTACAGGAATTAAAAAATGCAGCGATGAAGTTTGATTTAAGAAGTGCTGTCTTTCCACTCTGAAGAATTCGATGAGGTAGATATAAGGATTTTGTTAGTTTTTAAAATTTGACCCAACCCAAAGATTAAAATACTCATTATAGTATGATCTTTTAAAATGATTTTAAAAAGTTAGAGCTCTGCTATTATGGCTCAGAGGCAGAGCATGGGCACGTCGTTTTTTCAATTAAATAAAGAAACGGAAGGAGCAGAGGGGAAGTTTCTTTTACCTAGTGAAAGCCTCGCATATCCCTTATTAGTTTTATCATATGGCTACCTCACTCCTCTCCTAGCGCGAAGATTGTGTTGCCTCTTTACACAATGATTTAAGTTAGCAATGGATACTTGACTTTTTAATCTGTGAAAAAGTTCAGAGATAGGGTTTTTTATACTCCTTCCCAAAAGTAAAAAAAAAATGAAACATATATTTTAAGTCAGAAAAAATTAATTCGTACATTAATGAATTTATGTGGAAATTTAGCATAAATATTCATTTTTAAAACCTAAATTAGAGTACTAATTTTGCAGGTGTCAAACGATTTGCTTTTTGTTTTAAAAATTTTGCCTTATAATATAATTATTATCCCGGTATTTATATTGACATATGGATAAAATTTTAAAAACCTAAATACCCTTATTTCGCTCTATTGGAGCCCTCCTGACTAGATTGGTCTTCCATTTTCCAACAAACTGTCACAGGGTGGGGCCACGATCCATATAATCTTGTTTTAAGGTAAAATTTAAGATGTTATAGGCAATGGTTATAGGGTATTATTTATATTTTTTAAATTTTATAAATAATTTGGGCCGAGTTTTTAATTCACATCAACCACTAAATTGAGACGAGTAAAGCCTGCCTTTTAATATGGATATGGAACATTTTTTTTACACCAATGAAGATAACTAATAAGTGTAAAGTGTGTCCAACTCAAATATTTTTGCCTCAATTGTGGAATAAATATGGGCATCTTTCAAACCATGCAGCCAATATGACTTTTAATTTTAATTAATTGCCTGTCCATATTTAATTCAATATGTATTTAATTAAAATCTAACTTTATTTATCCCCTTTTATTGTATATTTAATAATGACACTCGTTTTACTGTATAGTTAAAAGTTTTATTTTTATCTAAAAAAATAAAATATATTTTAAATCGTATCACGTCAATACCGCGAAATGTATTATCGCGAATGCATCATCGCGAATGCATTATCGCGAATGTCGATTACCGCGAAAAGATATTATAGCGAATGCATTACCGCAAATGCATTATAGCGAATGTATCATAGCGAATATATTAGCGCGAATGCATTATAGCAAATGCATTACCGCGAAAATATTATAGCGAATGCATTACAGCGAATGTAATACCGCGAATGCATTATCGCGAATGCATCATAGCGAATGTATTATAGTGAATATATTATCACAAAAGCATTACCGCGAAAACATTATAGCGAATGCATTACAGCGAATGTAATATCGCGAATGCATTACAAAGAATGCATTACAGCGAATGTAATACCGCGAATGCATTATCGCGGATGCATCATAGCTAATGTATTACCCTGAATTCATAGTGGCGCGATTGCGATTTAGCCGCGACAAATACAAAATATAGTAAATATCATATCGCATTCATAGTTACCGATCGCGCGATTGAGTAGCAAAAGCTAGTCGCCGCGATTTTTTCAAAACACAAATCATTTTGTATTTATCGCGAGATTTTGAAATAGTGCTTCGTTAAATACAGATTTTGGTGAATATAGCACAAAATATTTAAGATTTACCACCAATTTTAAAAATGTATTCGAAATCAATGACAACCTTTTTTGATGATATAAAACCAAAGAATCAAGTTAAAATTATGATTTAAATTATAATCTTTTTATAGAAAATAGATAAAGTTGCTTTTATTTATAGTGTTAAGGAATACGATTGCTTGCAGTGTTGTTAAAATAGCGCGCTACTTTTTTCAGTAGCGGTAGCTATAGCGCGTTACTTTTAAAAAAAAATAGCGATATCGGTAGCTCGCTACTAATTTAGAAAGTAGCGAAGTAGCGCGCTACTTCGCTACTTTCAATTTTACATAATAAATACATCTAAAAGTTATTAAAATATATTTTTTATAAAATCTAAAATTATAATCCTTTTATTTAATTTAATTTTGAAATTTAAATTTATTTAAAAATATACATTATTGTTATATATTAGATATAAACAGTTGTTAAATCGCGCATTCATTAAATTATATATTTTTGAAATTCCGTTATTGGTATGTCCTTGCTTTTATCTTATTTTATATTTCATCTTACATTTTATATTAAGCATTATAAATCTTGTTATGTGTGAGATTGTCGAAGATATTGAAATTTCTTTGGAAAATGAGCAAAATATAGATGATCCTTTCCCAAAATTCAAGAAATACTTTAACCTTATAGAAAAAATTAATACTGGATATCGGTTTCGGTGCAAGATGTGCCGCAAAATTATCTCTTCAAATCATACGAGCAGCTTTAATTTGAAAAAACATTTAAAGATAATATATTAAACAAATTTAATATCAATGTGCAGGCAAATCTTTAATTTTTAAAATAAATTAAAATCAAAAACCAATCTTTTTTTTATATATTCAAAAATTTTATCTAAATTATTTAAAACATTTTAAAATAGTTATTTCAATCATTTTTATGTACTTATCTCCTACATAATTTTTATTCTAAGTATTTTATATTTTTAGACTGTGCACACTTCAAATTATAAAGAGATTGAAGAATATCTCAAAATATAATAATTACAATCGCTTTATATAAATTAGATTTCCAGATCTGTATGATGATGATAATGTAATAGCTGCTATCGTTCATCCTAGTTTCAAGTTAAAGTGGCCATACATTAATTTGACTGAATCTAAAGGGCAACTTGATAGGCTGATGGTAACGTTAAAAAATGGCATGCCTATACCACGATACTATAGCAAGATCGAAACCATAGCCTTCCATAGACGATTTTTTTGAAATAAATAATAATAATATTATTAAACCTTTAGATGCTTTTTTAAAATCTAAAAATACTAATTTAAATATTTTTGATGATTTTTTTCATATAAAAAGTTTGTTTATTAAATTTAATACTGCGTTGCCCTCAAGCTGAACGATTATTTAGTATGGCAAAGCTTATACTTTCTGATCGTCGCTCTAGACTTGGGGATGACAGTACCGAAATGTTATTATTATTAAAGTGCAATAATAAATAAATTATTTATATATATATGTAACAAATTATAGTCATGTTTTTATATCAATATTTTATTTGTGGAAATAAAGTTACGTAAAAAAAAATATTTAAAAAAAAATCAAAGTAGCGTAAAAAGTAGCTAATAGCGCGCTACTCATTTGAAAACGATAGCGGTAGCGATAGCGCGCTACTTTTTTTATAAAATAGCGATAGCGATAGCGCGCTATTTTTAAAAGTAGCGTTTAACAACACTGATTGCTTGTATAATAAGCTAAATAATTTATACAAAAATATAATATATAAAAATAAAATATGGAGTGTATTAGCTCAGGAGTATGGTATGCCTGGTAAAAATTGAGTATATATCTTATATTTATATACCATTTTAGGACCCTCTCTTAGAACTCTATGGAAAAATTTGAGAGAATTGCTTCATGAGAGAAAGACTAAAAATGACCAAACTTAAGAGTGGGTCACAGGCAGACCATCATATTTCATGGCCATACTACCAGGATATGTTATTCCTGGTAGAAACGGTAACACCAAGGTTACAGTTATCCTCTTTAGATATGGGGGAAGGATCTATTCCAAAAGATGTAAATAATATCTTTAATGAAATTATTGGGGAGACAAATGAATGTAAAATATAACATTTGAATTGGTAATATATTTTTTATTAAATTGATTGCAGAGTTGTACAAAAGATCTTCTTTGAAGATTTTTGAGAGAGATCGAGCTCAAAAATTTGAGCAAGATCTTTGAAGATCGTAAAATTTGAAGATCTTTTATTTTTTAAAAATTTTGTGTAACGATAGATCTTTGAAGATCGCTGCGATCAACGATCCTCAAAGATCTTCATGATATTTATTTTTTTACCCCTTTATTAAAAGCCCAGATGTTTTTCAATTTTCATCAAGGCAGGAGGAGAGGTATAAAACATAAAAGAAATATTATATTAATAAAATTGAAAAACATCTGGGCTTTTAATAAAGGGGTAAAAAAATAAATATCATGAAGATCTTTGAAGATCGTTACACAAAATTTTTAAAAAATAAAAGATCTTCAAATTTTACGATCTTCGAGGATCTAGATCTTTTTATTGAGCAAATGTACAACTCTGGTTGATTGTATTGATAGTGATCTTATAATAGATACTATTATTCCTAAAGGACCTCCATTACAGCTTAGTAATGAGTGTGGTAATTATAAATTTTAAAAATATACATTATTTATATTTAAGAATCTATTATTTCATCTTGTAAATATCCTAAGAGAAGGAATAATGATATAGGTAATTTATATTTATTATTTACTTTATAGAAAATTTTAAAATAGATGAAATAAAAACTTTACTAAAATTAGAACATGAAAAAACGAAATTGGAATTAGAGATGAATAAAAATAGATATAATGAATATGCGATATGTCATGTAATTGAGAGATAAATTAGACGGATGCAGTATTCAAGAGAAGAAAGATCTTTCTGATCAAATGTATGATCTCATACGCAACTTTAATTAAATAAAATTATTTTGTATATATTTTTATTATGAAATAGATATTTTGTGTATATTTATATTATTTTAAATAGATATTTTGTATACATTCATATTATTTGAAATAAAATTATATACTATTGAACAGAGTTGGGCAGGTCCTCTGGAAAAAGAATCTAGATACAGATTCTTTGTGAAAAAATGAATCTTAGATACAGATACTTGTATCTTTTGCCTATTTAGAGTATCTTAAATATAAGATACTTTTAAATTATCATTACCAATTAAGTTAGAATAGTTTGTAAAATACAGTTTTTATTATTTATTTGTGAAGAACATAACATTACCATAATAAGAATGAATATTTACAAGAATCAATAAAATATTTAATGATGAGTTGATTATAATAATCAGGCATTTTAATATTAGTATTAGTCCATTCTTAGCATAGATAGGGAAGGGAGACTAGTATTGGAATTGAAATATTAATTTGCAAAAGTATTTAAAATAAATTCATTATTTTATAAGATAATCAAATTTTTAAAATATTTATAATTAGACCTTTGCCATTTTGGCATACTTAACATTGTGCCAAAACTAAATAACCTTTCAATTGGAGCTGATGAAGGTATTGCAATATTATATTTATAAAAAATTTCTTTAATGGAAGGATAATAATTAAACATTTATTTTTATTATAATATATATAAAATACAAAACAAGATATTTATATAAAATACAAAATAAGATTTGATTAAATTTATAAACATCTATAATATGGAATTTTTATATAAATATAAACATAATAAATTTCTATTAAACTTTGCAATATTTGTTGCTGATTTAATAGATTGTTGATTAAATAAGTGAATTAAAGGGAATAATTTTTTTTAGGATTGATAGGAATATATTTTTCCTTATCAATTATAATGTTATGGAGTAAAGTACATGTTTGTATTATATTTTCTGTTAGCTGTAATTTTGTATCCATAGGACGATCAAAGATCATCCATTTAGCTCTTAAGATACCAAATGCACACTCCACTTGTATCCGTGCACGTGATATCCGATAATTATAGGCTTCTTGTTGAGGGGTAAGGATACCTTGAAATAATAATGGAAACAAATTTTAACATATAAATATAAAAAATACTAATAAAATTTTAAATTCCTAATTATTAAAATATTGGCCATTAATAATGCCTAAATAATTGCTTTAATATATTATATAAGTTTGCCATATAACTTTGCAAGTGGTCCTAACAATTTTTTGGATTGTAGATATTCCCATTTTGAAGGAATAAGCTAAGGTAGGATATCTACAGCCTGTAGCTAAATATCTAAATAAAAAATATATTTAAATAATAAATTGCTTTATTTTTACCTTAAACAAACCATTAGCTTTTCTTCAACACTTATTGGATATTTTATAAAATTTGTGGATGTTGTAAGCAATATTGGTTTTACATGCTCAAGTATGTAATAAAAGGTTTCCATAATTAAAATGATTTATAGATAAAATAGAATAAAATTACTTTGGTCATCCTCATATAATTGAAAAATTTAACCTCATTTTTTAAGAGTTTAGGAAAGAGAATGTAAAATTCGCCCGCTTTTCTTTTATTAATATTAAGATTGTTTAATCTCCTCCTCTTCAATATTATTTTGTATAAGAGAAATAATATGGCGGCTCTCATTTACGTACGTGATATATAGCGCTTTTGCCCTCTAACGTTGAAGATTCAACAGAGCTACGTCAGGTTTTCCTCATTTCCATCTAATTGGAACAATTAAATTTGGGTATAAAAATAAAAATATGAGGAGCCCTCTACACGTTTGTGGGCAAGCCGCACGTACTTGTAGGCACAACATTTCGAAAAATGTTGCTTAAACCTCTATAGGCTTTAATTTAGAAGGAGTGGGACAAAGAAAAAGCCTATACCCGAGAACTACAGTATAATTTAATTACTTTAAAGGTGGGTGATGGCTGATTTTAAGCTTAATTTCTTTAATGTAAGTTATATCTGTAAATAAATATGATTAAAATAAAATAATATTTACCACCGGCTCAAAGTTTTTTTGATATTTTTTAAATTATATTCCATATGTCAGGCTCTCATTTTGTGAATTAATATAATCGCTTAGCACTATGAATGTAAATCGCTGCGATCGATCCAGCTGATCAGTCGCTGCGAAATCGCGGCTTAAATCGCGATCGCAATCGCTCTCACTATGAATTCAGGGTTATAGCGAATATATTAGCGCAAATGCATTAGAGCGAATGCATTAGGCCGTGACTGCATATAACACCTGTGATATTTAGTGAAAAAACTAAACATAACACCTGCTATATTTTTTTAGTGAATAAATTAAATATCACACCTGCTATATTTTAATTTTTTAATACACTTCGTATATTTAAAATATTAAAGGATGTTTTTTGTTTTTAATTCTTCCAATTTTTATTAAATATAATTTTTATTTACTTGAGCTATTAAGGTAATATTTTATATTAATAATCTAAATATTACTGTAGATCCCTATAAGTATTTTTATTGAAGTCTTAAGGAGTAATAATGAAGAGGAATATAAGATGAACTTATAGCCATATTTTCAAATATCAATATCATTAAAAATTTTTTTAGCTGAATTCTGAAAATATAACGATGACATAAATTTAGGAATCTTGTAAGAATTAGGAAATAACTAATATAACGTAAAGATACACCTTTTTTAAAGGTTACAATGACATTCAAGAAGACCTACTTAATAACCAAAGCTTAATATACACAACACAATCCTAAGGGACCCTTATAGCTAGCAATTCAAATTTACAAACTGCTCATTAAAAAATATGAATATGGGTTTATAAATAGTTTATATATGAATATAAATACTTTGATATGTATATGGGTTTATCAAAGCTATATGAATAAATACTTTTTTGATTATGCCCATTAATTGTAACCATATTTAATATGAAAAATATAAATAAAGACTCCTAAAAATATACTCACAAGTTTTATATGGTACAATTTTTTAATGTATTTTGACATAAAATTTATTTTTAGTTTTATAATCTGCAAATTAAAAAATAATTTGAACCCAATTTTTTTTAAAACACCCTAATATTTAATCAAAAAATATTAATTTATAAAATTTTAATTGCCTTGTCCTAATCTCAGACTCATATTTTTTTTAATAAATAAGAATTAAAAACATTTTTTTATATTTATCTGGTTTCTTAAATTATAAGCCTCCTACAACTACAACTTTTAAGGCATTAATCTTTTTTGTTCAAATTTTATTTATTATACATGGATAAATACTGATATTTGTATTTAATAACTATGACCAATAGTCAAACCTTCTAATATTTAATATTATATTGTTCTAACTGACAAGAAAATTATTCTTTACCTTTCATAAAATAATTTAAAATGATAAATACAGGAAATAAATACTTAATCCTTTATAGCATGGAGGGGTGAGGGGCTATACATACTCTAGTTGTATAAAAAAATATTATTACCTATTTTTTTTGTATAAATTTTAGCTTAATATTTGTAGGAAAAGTGTATATCTGATTATTCAGCATTTATAGTGGTGTAGCTTGGGATTGCATAGACCCCACCTAATTATGCCTATTATGTGGGTTTTCTACCTGATATTAATGTTGTAAGTGTGAATAAAATTGATGAAATGATATTTTTTTTTTTAAATTGTGACTATTCCGGAGATAAGTAATGATATTGGTTGTTATATGAGTAAAAAGAAAATATTAATAATAAATGCTTATTTTTTTTTCCGTATATTTCAAAAAAATATATTAAAAAAACCAAACAAAACAAATAAAAAAAAACAACAATAATAATACCGGTGTAACGTGTGATTCTCTTCATAGTTGATCATTTGTTTTGTTTTGATTATTTCATCTTAATTATAAATGACAAATAAAAAAATATCATTTAAAAAAATGAATTCAAAAAAAAAATGAATTTAAAAAAAAATGAATTCAAAAGAAATGAATTGATAATTAACAATTTTGCTTTCCCTTTTATAGGGAAGCATTAATCATCACAAATAAATTATTAAAATTTACAATCTAAAAATATCTTCTTTTACAAATATAAAGCACCTAATCATGCCTCAAATTAAAATTAAAAGATAAAAATACATTTTTAGAAATTATAAATTATCCCCTCATAATGTACAATAATTAACTTTTATAATTCTAAAAATAAAATGTTAACGCGATTAAACTAAAACATAAAATTATAAAAATAACAATGACTCACTAATTTAACTAAAACATAAAATTATAAAAAAGTTGTAAATGTTAGATGTAATTTGCATAAGGAACTCTATTGGATTTTGTTGTAAATAGTAGATTTGTATATTTAATTTGCATAAAGAATTCTTTTGGATTTATTATTATAACGTGTGATAAAGATATTATATTTGAATAGTTATGAATATTAGTTATAAAGAAGATTGAAAAGAGTATAAAAAGGCCAATTTTACCATACAAAAAGATCTTTGATAATTATTAACTTTTTTATATTTTATTTTATTTTTATTTTCCTTTTTTTATTATTTTTACCTTTATAATTTTGTTAATTTGATAATGTTATAATTTTGAATAAAGAATTAAATTGATTTCGTGATTTCGTGATTCCTAATTATTATTAATTTCTTTTTTATATATATATATATATTTGTTTTCTATTTTTATTTTTAGGTTCTGAGTTCCAATGTCAAATCTCACATTGTGACAAAATATAATTTATTTTTAAAAAATCCGGGCCGGGCCTGAAAATTTTATTTTAAAAAAAGCCGGGCCGGGGCCTGTAAATATTTTAAAAAAAGCCGAGCCGGTCCTAAAAAATTTTTTTTAAAAAGCCAAGACTGGGGCCGTAAAAAATCTTTAAAAAAATTCGGGCCGTGCCCTGCAAACTTCTGCAGGCCTCTGTTATTCTTCTTAAAAAAGAGAATGTTCTCTCATTAGTTTACTAATGGGAAGAGTT